AAAAAAAAAAAAAAAAAAAAACCCACATTTTCACTGATCCCTTCCTCTCAACCAAATTCTTAATTTATCCTCAAGTGAAGCACTTTGTTTTTTCATCTGTATATTTCATAAAACCTCCTCCAAAACAAAAAAAAGATGGCCGAGCAGATGGCCGAGAAGATGGCCGAGTCAATTGCTAGTGCTGTTGTTGAGAACATAGCTGATCCGATCAGTGTTGTGCGCAAGTGCAACGAAAATGTTCAGAATCTGAAGAATCAAGTTGAGGCGCTAGAGAATAAAATTAGGAGTGTGGAGGACTCTAGAGCATTTGTTCACAGGAGGGGGGAAGACATTTTTGAGGAGGTCCAGACTTGGCTGAATAAAGCGGACGAGTTCATCAAACGTGCACGGGAATCTATAGGAGTTGGTGATGAATTAGCCGGAAGTGAGTCTTTCTTTCGGCTGTGGCCCAATCCCTTGGGTCGTTACGACCTCAGCAAGAAAGCAGCGCAGATTGCGGGGGATATTGCAAATCATGTGCAGGAAGCTCCTAGATTCGACTATCCATTTTCCCACGCTCCTCCTCCACAACAGGACGTGGCTGCAGTTGTCGAAGGTTTTGAGGAGTTTCCCTCTAGAATGGCTGTTTTGGAGCAGATCATGAAGGCAGTAAGAAATCCAATCGTCAACACGATCGGAGTGCATGGGACTTCTGGCGTGGGGAAGACTTTCCTTGTAAAAATGGTTAAAGGAAAAGCCAAGCAAGACAGCTTGTTTACTGCGGTAGTTATGGCTAAAGTGACAAAGAACCCGGACTTGAAAAGTATTCAACATGACATCGCACGCGACTTGGGTATGGATCAGCTTCCTACCGAACTTCCACCACAACAAGTTGCAGATCGAATAAAGGCAAAGCTCATAAAAAAGAAGAAATTTCTTGTAATTTTGGATGATGTTTGGGAGGCTGAAATAGATTTGAAGAAAGTTGGAATACCTTCTGCAAGTGAGCTGAAGCAGGCTATGGAGAAAAGGAATGAAGAACGCTCATCTGGACAAGAAGAAATGCTCCGCAAGATTCTACTAACCTCAAGAGATCCGAATGTTCTCTCTGGTATGATGGATGAGAAAGATCAGGTCTTCAAGGTACATGAATTAGAAGATGATGAAGCATGGCATCTATTCAAGAAGATTGCTGGCAGCAAAGTTGAAAGCTCTGATCTTCAACCGACAGCTAAAGAGATCGTTAAGAAATGTCTCGGGTTACCCGTTGCTATTGCATCAGTTGGAAAGGCCATGAAAGGTAAGACTCGGCAACATGAGTGGAAAACTGCTCTTGGGGAATTGAAAAGGCCTAATCCAGAAGGGATATCTGCAGCTGTATACAAGCCTATAGAGTTGTCCTACAAGTACTTACAAGAAGATGAACTCAAGCAAACGTTCATGCTTTGTAGCTTGCTGGGCCATGACTCTTCAATCAATGACTTGTTAAAATATGGTATGGGCTTGAATTTATTTCGAAAGGTGAAAACAGTGGAAGAGACAAGAGACAAAGTACTGACACTGGTTCACAATCTCAAACGCTCTTCTTTGTTGGTTGATGGTCACAGTAATATGCATTTTGGTATGCATGATCAGATTCGGGAGGTTGCCCTGTCAATTGCTTCTAGGGACCACGGTGTATTGGCTTTAGCAGATGAAGATGAAGGAAAAAACTGGCCAGAAAAGGAGACAATGGAAAAGTTAAAGTGGATTTATTTGTCAAATACTGATCCTGAGCTCACGAGAAATGGGTTGAAATGTCCGCGGCTCACTTTCTTTCATTTGTCCAACAAGGGTCGTTCTCTAGAAGTTCCAACAGATTTGTTCACTGAAACAGAAGGGCTCAAAGTCTTATGTTTGACCAAAATTGATTTTCAGTCAATGCCTTCACAAATTCCCTTGATCCCAACAAACCTTAAAACATTACTTTTGGACCAATCTGTGTTGAGAGTCGAAGAACTAGGCAACATTATGGGAAATCTGGAGAAGTTAGAGGTCCTAAGCCTTGCAGGCTGTGACATTGAAGAGTTGCCAAGAGAAATGGAGAAGCTGACCAAGCTAAAGTTGTTAGATGTGAGTGACTGCACCAAACTCAAAGTAATTCCACAACAAGTCTTAGCAAGATTGTCTAAATTGGAAGAGCTAAAAATGGGAAACAGCTTTGACCAATGGGGTGATGTGGAGGGAGGAAATGCTAGGCTTGCTGAGTTAACAGAGTTGCGTACGCTCACTGCTTTAGAGGTACGTATTCCTAATTTCCGAGAAACTTTGTTTCCTGAAAATCTGGAAAGGTTCAAGATTTTCATAGGAATAGTAAGCAGGATGCCTTGGATGCCCGGGTGGGTTTACTGTTGGGACAGTAACTCTTGGAACAGCTCTTTTGAAAACTCAAACATAATGAAGCTAAAGCTGCAGGGTGCAGGCATTAAATCTAATAACTCAGTTAAGAAGTTGTTGAAGAAGACAGAAGAACTGTATCTAGAGGGATTAAATGGTGTCGAGAGTTTACTTGAGGAGTTAGATGATGAAGGTTTTCAACATCTGAAGTGTCTTCATGTCCAAGATGCTCCAGACATTCGACACATCTTTAACCCAGCAGGGAGGTTGCTTCCTTCCCAGGTATTTCCCATCTTGGAGGTATTGACCCTTCCCAATTTGCAAAAAATGGAGAAGATATGTCATGGTCTGACTGGAGCGGCACCTTTTAAAGTGTTAAGAAAGATAACTGTTGTTCGTTGTGATCAATTGAAGAATCTGTTCTCCTTCTCCATGGCCAGACAGCTTCCCCTTCAAGAAATAACAGTAGAAGAATGCAACAACATTGAAGAGATTATTGATGACGTGGAGGAGCAAGGCAACGGAAATGATATCGTTGAAGAAAGTGAAGGATGTAAGCTTGGTGGCAGTCTGCGGTCCTTAACATTGAGAAGGCTACCAAAACTGATTAGCTTCTTCAACAGTGGTAATTGCAGCGGCATCTCACTTTTCAACGATAAGGTACTTAATTCATTTCCTTTATTTTATTTCATTTTTTTGTTTCTTTGCAGAAGAGTAATTAGAAGATATAAAAAATTAATCTCTCACTGTCCCTTTTTTTTTTAAAGGAGATTAACTGGGTTTCGAGTTTGGGCTAGGTTGAATGGCAATCCAATAGTTTTAGTGTTTTACATTTTTATAAATTTTTTAAAGAGTTGCTTTAAATTATTTTAAAAAGTGCAGATGGTTAGACATATTTAAAAGAAAAATGTATTACTCATCAAAAAGCTGAAAAATATAGGAGTATTAAGGACTCAACCTTATTCCAATTTGATAACGGAGGGCGCAAACTTTTATTCTATAAAAAAGTATGGAATGCAATTTTTAAATCTATTGTGCTTGATTTATTCCAAAAATTTTTATTTTAATTTAATGATAAAAATTCACATGATTGTGTTTGATTTAATTAAAATTTTATAGAATTCATTTGTAATTATACACTTTTTATATACATATTTTTATTTTAAATTACATAACAAGAGATAATTATCTCTCAAATTATTATCCATTCCACTTCTCTCATTTTTACTGAAAAGAGATTATTAT